CTTAAACTTGTAGCATATTGTGATGAAGACTGGGCAGGAAACCAGAACGACAGACAAAGTATGACTGGTTACTGTTTTGATCTATTTGAGACTGGGCCCATTATTTCTTGGAAATCGAAGAGATAGTCGACCGTTGCTTTATCCACACATGAAGCAGAATATATTGCTTTGGCTTCTGCTACACAAGAAACTCTTTATCTTGTGAACTTGTTGAATGGAATGGATGGTGGATGTGAATATGCACCAGTGACTATTTATGAGGACAACCAAGGTGTGATTGCTCTTTCTAAAAATCATGTTTGTCGCCAAAGATGCAAACACATTATCACTTTGTCGGGTCAACACCTAGTGATGGAAAAATAATTTTGTTTTACTGTCAGACATCAGAAATGGTGGCTGATACTTTTACAAAACCTGGAAATAAAATGAGAATGGGCAAATTTTTACGTTTTGTTTTTGGTGTGTACAAAAAAAATGTATGTAAATGTAAAGGAATGTCAACCTAAGAACAAGTGTGTGTGTGTTGAATTTTATTGTTGTGGGTGTTCTTGTTGACTTCCTGCTGTGGGTGGAGTCACACACACACAGGTGTGCAATTTTCAATAAATGGCCACAGGTGTCTATTTATGAGAGCTTTTCTTGGAGGCCGAACGCAACAGAATGCATTATGTGGTTTTTCCACAGTGGTTTCAGGTTTTTCAACTACAAGTACAAAGTATTTTAGCAATGGCAAATTCAACACATTCACTATACATAAGCTCGCTAACCTTTTCTATGAGTTTGAGTCTCTTTCCATCTCAGTCATATCTCTGGGTTTATATTCTACACTGTGATAATTCTATGATCATTTTGAGTCAGAACAGACTGTATGTCAGTATGACTAGATGTTTGTTTTACAGCTTGCACTGTAACTGTACTACAGGCACACGGTAACAACTAAGAGCCATGGAGGGTCATTCTTCTAGACTCCAACATCTATGTTCATCTTCTTCAAGAACTCCACAATGGCTCTTATGTGAGCTCTTTCTCCTCCCTTCTGTTTGTCTTTTATTGGCTCCAGGAGACGAGGTTCTGCGGGTATGTTCCATTAACC